AATTCATAGTATTTAGTTATGGTTAGGAGGGCAAGGATTTTTCTGGCCTGGACTATCTATGTTTCCTGGTAAAATACCCTGTATCTAAGATGTCCGGCTTAGTTCAGTGCAACACCTGCTTTGCAGCCGTCCTTCGCAGTACCCTTTTCAAACTTGGAAACTGTCCTATCTGTAAACAAATCACTAGCCTACAAGGACAGATCATTTACCTAGGGTCTGTAATCCGTGCTCTTCGGGCAGAAATTAGGTGTCCAGTTCAGCCCCTCTACTCTAGTAAGCCTCCCTGCTATCAGCCCCCTTTACCACAAAGATCCTGCAGGAAAAGGGCAGTGTGGACAACCGTGGGATCTGGCAGGGTGAGAGCTGTGAACCATAAACACAAAGCTTTCGCTGTGTCCCTGCACAACAGCTACAGTGCTCTTGCTGACCTTAATAGGGACATTAAGGAGACTGGTAAAGGTATTTGTGAAGATAACTCAAATAAGCAGGGGATTGTGGTCCGAGATGAAGAACTAGATTTTGATAGGGAGAAGTGTGAATCAGGTATTGCACATCAGTCATGCAAGAATAGAAAGGCTCCCAAAAAGAGAAGCTACCTTCTGGTAGGTGATTCAATTATAAGGGATGTAAATTTAGGAAAGGACACAGAGGCTTTGAAAGAGGTCAGGTGTCTTCCAGGTGCTACTGCCAGTAGGGACAAGAAGCGTATTTCTAAAATAATCAAGAATGGCAGCAAGGACTGTGATGTGGAGGCTATTGTACACCTTGGCACTAATGATCTGTCCCAAAAAGATGTACTCTCTGTGCAGAATGATTTCCAGAGCTTGGGGAAGGAACTTAGCAGAATAGGCTGTAGGCTTACTTTCTCAGAGGTTTTACCAGTGTATAAGGAGCAAAACGGAAAAGGCCAGCGCATAGCACAATTCAATATGTGGCTAAAGGAATGGTGTAAAGGGGAAGGCTTTGGATATATTAGTCACGATGTCAGTAGCTGGTCCAATCAAAAGATGTACAAAAGAGATGGTTTGCATCCATCAAAAAAAGGGACTGAGTTACTCGGCTATAAATTCACAGATTTTCTGGAGGGAAATTTAAACTAAACAGCGGGGACAGGGAGTTAATTGATACGGAACAACCCTGTCCCCGGCAATTTAAAAACTATAGGGCTATCAGTGCATGTAGCACAGATGTGTGTGTGGACAAGAATACCAACCTTGCTACCAATCAAAATGAAGCCTCTAATAGCGAGTGCCATATAAAGTGCACTAACCAAATAGGTGGTAAGACAATAGGGGAACTCAGGCACCACACAGGTTATGTAGAAAGGAAACACAGGGCCACCCACAAAGGACTCAAATGTTTATACACCAATGCACAAAGTATGAACAGCAAACAGGGTGAACTAGAAATTCAGGTTAATGAGGGCAGATACGATATTGTTGCCATTACGGAAACATGGTGGGATGAAACTCACACATGGAACACACAGCTAGAGGGATTTAAATTATTTAAAAGAAACAGACCAAATAAAAGAGGAGGTGGAGTTGCTCTCTATATAAGAAATAACTACATCTTCACAGAAATAGAGTACAACAATGATAAAAACTGTCTTGAATGCATTTGGGTCAATATAAAAGGGGGGGGGAATGACATTGCCATAGGTGTATACTACAGACCACCCAACCAAACAGAGGAAATAGATGAACTTTTTGCTAGTCAGCTAACTAAGGTATGTAGGAAGCACATCACAATAGTAATGGGGGACTTTAACTACCCTGACATCAACTGGGAGACAAACTCCGCACCAAGTGGAAGATCAAACAGGTTCCTGGCAAACCTAGCAGACAACTTTGTCTCCCAAAAAGTAGAGAATGGAACTAGGGGATTAGCCATTTTGGATCTAATTCTCACTAACAGAGATGAAATGATAGACGGTGTTGGAGCCATAGGAACCCTGGGAGGAAGTGATCATGCAATATTAGAATTCAACATTATAGAAGCACAACCAATAGAACACAGTCAAACTAGAGTCTTGGACTTCAAGAGAGCTAATTTCAATAAACTTAGAGAGGGCTTGGGAAGGATTCCATGGATGAGAATCCTCAAGGGGAAAACAACTCAAGAAGCTTGGGAAATTTTGAAAAATGAGATAATAAAAGCACAGTCTAGCACAATACCAACAAAGAGGAAAAATAACAGCTCTCAAAAGAAACCAGCATGGCTGCATAAAGAACTCTCTGACAAATTGAAAGATAAAAAGGACAAGTATAGAAAGTGGAAAGAGGGGAACATAACTAAGTCAGAATATCAGCAAATAGCCCGAGCCTGCAAAGATGAAGTGAAGAAAGCCAAGGCTCAAAATGAACTGAGGCTTGCGACCAAAGTCAAAAATAACAAAAAAAGCTTCTTTCAACATGTAAAAAACAAGAAAAAAGTGAAGGAAATGATTGGTCCATTAGTGGGTGGAAGTGGCAAGAAGGTGACAAGCAACAGGGAGAAAGCAGAACTATTTAACTCATTTTTTGCATCTGTCTTTACACAAAGGGAAAAAACAGACCAACCTATCAAAAATAGTGCCACAAAAAACAAAACAGAAACACAAGTTAAGATAGGCAAGAAAATCGTTAGTGAGCACCTGTCCAGCCTAGATGAGTTCAAATCGCCAGGACCAGACGGATTACACCCCAGAGTTCTCAAGGAACTGGCAGATGTGATATCGGAGCCACTGAACTATATTTTTCAAAGATCCTGGAACACAGGGGAACTACCAGAGGACTGGAAAAGAGCTGATGTAGTTCCCATCCTCAAAAAAGGAAAAAAAATGGATCCAGGAAATTACAGACCTATCAGCCTGACCTCAATACCTGGGAAGATCCTGGAAAAGATAATCAAACAACGAATCAACGAACACCTAGAGGCAAACAAAGTCATTACTAAAAGCCAACATGGGTTTGTCAAAAATAGATCATGCCAGACAAATCTTATTGCATTCTTTGACCAAGTGACAAAATTAGTGGATCAGAGGAATGCTGTGGACATAATTTACTTGGACTTCAGTAAGGCATTTGATAAAGTAGATCACAACCTACTACTTGACAAGATAGAAAAATGTGGGGTAGACAGAACCACCACCAGATGGATCCGTAGCTGGCTGACCGGCCGTACTCAGCGAGTGGTCCTCAATGGAACTGCATCTATATGGAGGGAAGTGTGTAGTGGGGTGCCCCAGGGCTCTGTTCTGGGCCCAGTACTCTTCAACATCTTCATCAACGATTTGGATGAAGGGATAGATGGGGAACTCATCAAATTTGCAGACGACACCAAGCTGGCAGGAATAGCCAACACTCCAGAAGACAGGCTTCAGATACAGAAGGATCTGGACAGACTTGAACACTGGGCACTAACTAACAAAATGAAATTCAATGGTGAAAAAAGCAAGGTTCTACATTTAGGCAAGAAAAACCAAATGCACAAGTACAGCATAGGTGGCACCATGCTCAATAGTAGTAACTGTGAGAGGGACCTCGGAGTCCTAGTAGACAATCACTTAAATATGAGCCAGCAGTGTGCTGCAGCTGCCAAAAAGGCCAACACAGTGCTAGGCTGCATTAACAGAGGGATAGAATCAAGATCACGTGAAGTATTAATACCACTCTTCAATGCCTTGGTAAGGCCACACTTGGAATACTGCATCCAGTTTTGGTCACCACGATGTAAAAAAGATGTTGAGACTCTAGAAAGAGTACAGAGAAGAGCAACAAAGATGATTAGGGGACTGGAGGCTAAAACATATAAGGAACGGTTGCGAGAATTGGGTATGTCTAGTTTAACGAAGAGAAGGACAAGGGGGGACATGATAGCAGTATTCCAATATCTCAGGGGCTGCCATAAAGAAGAGGGAATTAAGCTATTTTCCAAAGCACCTGAAGGCAGGACAAGAAGCAACGGGTGGAAACTCATCAAGGAGAGAAGCAACCTAGAACTAAGGAGAAACTTCCTGACAGTGAGAACAATTAATCAGTGGAACAGCTTGCCTCCAGAAGCAGTAAATGCTCCAACACTGGAAGTTTTTAAGAAGAGACTGGACAGCCATTTGTCCGAAATGGTGTAGGGTTTCCTGCCCGAGCAGGGGGTTGGACTAGATGACCTCCAAGGTCCCTTCCAACTTTACTACTATTACTATTACATTTGAACTGCCTGGATTTCTGATTTCCTGCGCTTAACAGGAGTTGAACTATACACCCTTTCAAATAAAAGATACCACCATAAACAAAGGCTTTTATTTAGTTCTTGGTTCTTATGATCATGTTTTCACTAGCTATTGCTGATAAAGTTCCAATAAGGTTTTTGCAGTTATGAAAAATTATTTTTAAAATTATAGCTGACAGTATTAATTTAGATGTTTTATCCAGTAAATGCCATGCCTACATATTTCTTTCTTACTATGACATTACGATAATATGATTTTTTCAGTTTGAGCTATCTTCTTTATATAAATCAAGAAAGTGTAAACTATAGCTGTATGTCAGTGTTTCCCAAACTTGACAATTTTAAGGCATGTGGACTTCAACTCCCAGAATTCCACAGCCAGCGTTGCTGGCTGTGGAATTCTGGAAGTTGAAGTCCACATGCCTTAAAATTGTCAAGTTTGGGAAACACTGCTGTATGTAAATATTTGAAGTATATTCACAAAATACTGAATGTTTCCTGCAGTACCTGTTCCCTGTCAACAAGAAAAAATGGGAAACAATCCGTTCTTTCAGATGTAGAGTTTCAGTGAGAGAGAAAGAAGAGCAGGGTATCTTTATTTGAACAGTGGTGGAAAATATTTCTCTCCCACAATATGGATTAAAATGCCTCCTTCCTGGAAGAATTTGAGATCCAAAGATCCTGAGAAGTTGATTATTCAAACCCTAAAGTATGAATAGAATGTAGGGAGAGGAAGTTGTGGTTGGTGAGTCAGCATGAGTAATTTATTTCAGCAAGCAGGAAGGCTGAGTTGTGTTTTTTTTCTCTCTCTCTTAATCATTTCAAGAATTACATTTTTTAAAAGAAGGGAAATCAATGATATTTTGCAGTACTTTTATTTGCAGTACTTTTAATAAAATGCTACAATTTCAGATCATAATTTTTATCTCTGTAGATACATTTTTCAAGAACCTGGAAAGAAGAGAAAAGCTGTCACTGGTAAGTATGATTCTTTTCTTTCTTTTTTTTTTTGCAAACTGTTTAGCATAGAGAGGATTCTTAGAATTTAGTCGCTCTGTCTAGTTAGCAGAAGTATTGTTTAGTGTAATAATTTTCATATATTCATGCAGTGTGGAGTTCTATTGCATGTCAGCAATTTGATAATTAATTTATTATTCCATTTTTAAGCTGATCTATTTCGGCTTTAAGATTTTACTTAGCAGTGAACAGAGTTTGGTAAGCTGAACACAAAAACAGATGGTACAGAATTGTTTCTCTCTTGTTATGAAAATCTGAACTTGGAATCTAGTGTTTGTATATACATTTTAATATGTTGGGCTTTTCTTTTAGATATCTCTGATTTTACAAGAGCATTTCTTTTAATCATGTCCTATCAAAGATACAATACAATACAATCCCTTTCATTATATATAAGAGAAAGATCTGTATATAAATGCACCTGTGATCCTGACAACTTATTTATATAAAACTCAATACTATGCTTCATTAGTAATTTAATTCAATAGGAATATTACATGAGTATGTTATACTGAATGTATTCACCATTAAATAAACTCTTAATAAAAGTTCTACATGCTCATTATAAACACTTATAACTGCTTCACAGCAATAACTGATTGTATAATTAAAAGAAGAAGTACTATACTGACTGAATCTAATCTCATATAGGAGTTTTACAGAGCATCCAATCAGATCAAATAGATACTTCCTGATTTGTGCAGAACAAATCTTGCATATAGTAGTTCACATAGCTAATTTTATCTTTGTCTTGAAATTCCGAGAGGTGGCTGGTTAAAAAAAAGTTTACAGAACTGTATTTTAGGTTTGTATTTTGACACCTTGGGTGGGTGTCCTGACTTTGAGTAAGATGCTGAAACTGAAAATATTTTATGCAGTTTGGCTGGAGAACCAGGTGTAGCACCATGATTTATGATCATCTTCTTTACTGTAAAGTCTAAATCTTATCTGAAATATGATTAAGTGAACATCTTTGTATATCCAGATTTGCAAGTAAATTGTCTAAACGTGTGTGTCTGTGGAGATTCTCAGTCATCCAGGTCATAGTTGTCCCAAAGGTGCTTTTTCAAAAGGCAACTGGACTTTGTTTTTTCTTGAAGATGTTTTGCTTGTGATCTCAGAACCACTGAATTATATCTTTCAAAGATCCTGGAGCACTGGGGAACTACCTGAGGACTGGAAAAGAACTAATCTTCAAAAAAGAGGAAAAAATAGATTCAGGAAACTTCAGACCTATCAGCCTGACCTCAATACTTGGGAAGATTCTAGAAAAGATAATTAAGTAACAAATCAGCAAACACCTAGAGGCAAACAAAATCATAACCAAAAGCCAACATGAGTTTGTCAAAAACAGATCATGCCAGACAAATCTTATTGCATTCTTTAATAAAGTGACAAAATTAGTGGACCAGAGGAATGCTGTGGATATAGTTTACTTGGACTTCAGTAAGGCATTTGATAAAGTTGGCCACAACCTACTATTTGATAAGATAGAAAAATGTAGGTTAGACAGCATGATCACCAGATGGATTCGTAGCTGGCTGACCGACCGTACTCAGCATGTGGAACTGCATCTACATGGAGGGAAGTATGCAGTGGGTACCCCAAGGCTCTGTTTTAGGCCAGTACTCTTCAACATCTTCATCAGTGATTTGGATGAGGGATAGATGGGGAACTCATCAAATTTGCAGACAACACCAAGATGGCAGGAATAGCCAACACTCCAGAAGATAGGCTTAAGAGACAGAAGGATCTTGACAGACTTGAACACTGGGAACTATCTAACAAAATGAAATTAAGTGGTGAAAAAAGTAAGGTTCTATATTTAGGCAAGAAAAATTAAATGCCCAGGTATAGTATAGGTGGTACCTCACTCAATAGTAGCAACTATTAGAGGGATCTTGGAGTCCTAGTGGACAATCACTTAAATATGAGCCAGCAATGTGCTGCAGCTGTCAAAAAAGCCAACACAGTTCTAGGCTGCAGTAACAGGGATAGAATCAAGATCACGTGAAGTGTTAATACCACTTTATAATGCCTTGGTAAGGCCACACTTGGAATACTGCATCCAGTTTTGGTCACAATGATATAAAAAAGAGGTTAGGACTCTAGAAAGAGTGCAGAGAAGAGCAACAAAGATGAATAGGAAACTGTAGGCTAAAACATATAAAAAATGGTTTCTGGAATTGGATATGTCTAATTTAATGAAGAGAAGGATGAGGGGGGACATGATAGCCATGTTCCAATATCTCAGGGGTTGCCACAAAGAAGAGGGAGTGAAGTTATTCTCCAAAGCGCCTGAAGGCAGGACAAAAAGCAATGGGTGGAAAATAATCAAGGAGAGAAGCAACCCAGAATTAAGAAGAAATTTCCTGGCAGTTAGAACAACTAATCAGTGGAACAACGTGCCTTCAGAAGTTGTGAATGCTCCAACACTGGAAGTTTCAAAGAAGAGATTGGACAATCCATTTGTCTGAAATGGTATAGGGTTTCCTGCCTAGGTTTGAATAGAAGACCTCCAAGGTCCCTTCCAACTTTGTTATTTTGTTATTCTGCTTCTCATCCAAGAAGCCAGGAATCAGAACTGAAGACGTTTCTTGGATGAAAAGCAAAATGTCTTCAAGGAAAAATGAAGTCCAGTTGCTTTTTAAAAAAGGGACCTTTCAGTCTAAATATTTGTTTTTCACCTACTCCCCTTTGTTTATCGAAAAAGTTTGGGATATAGGATGGAGACCTGTTTCTATCATTTCATTCCTATACAGCATTTAGCAGATGCTTTAGCCCAGGGGTAGTCAACCTTGGCTCTTTTATGACTCATGGACTTCAACTCCCAGAATTCCCGAGCCAGTTATGCTGGCTCAGGAATTTTGGGAGTTGAAGTCCATGAGTCATAAAAGAGCCAAGGTTGACTACCCCTGCGTTAGCCTGAATGGTTCTTAACTGGGTTCTCTCTTCACTAATAAATAGTGTTACAATTTGCAGTTCCTCAAACAAGACTTGGGGTTACCCCTCTTCATCATCTCCTGCATTTATGAATCTGTGGTTTTGCAAATGCAGCTGATTGATTCTATGATTACAGAACTACACATTTTGCTACTTTACATTCTTGTTCTGAGCAACAATTTCTGGGATTCTTTATTATAGTATAATTTCCTCCATGAATATCACTTAAACAGAGGGGAAATTCCATGCATCCTGAAAAGTTTATGCATGTTGTATTTTTATACATGAAAGTGATAACTCTGGAGGAAAAGTTATTGTATATGAAGTGTTTTTCTGAGAAGTGGTGGGCCTGAATTACAGACCTTGAATACACATCCTTGCTGATTCACTTTTATGAACATTAAGGGTTCAAGTGCATTTGAGTACACAGACACTTTAAGGTTTGTAATTGGCATTAGTTACAAATGGGCAAACACTTCCACATAAGATCTGCTCCTAATTTTCTCCAAATCATTCTTTCTTATTAGTCTGGTTTAGGAAGGGAACACTGGGGGTTTTTTAAAACTCTTGTTGATCTTCTGCATATCACCCAGAGATCCCTAAAGAGCTTCTGCCTTCAGAACAGAACGGAACGGAACGGAACGGAATGGAATGGAATAGAATAACAGAATTGGAAAAGATCTTGGAAGTCTTCAAGTTCAATACCCTGCTCAGGCAGGAAACCCTATAATATTTTGGACAAATGGCTGTCCAGTCTCTTCTTAAAAACTTCAAGTGTTGGAGCATTCACAACTTCTAGAGGCAAGTCATTCCACTGATTAATTGTTCTAATTGTCAGGAAATTTCTCCTCCACTTCCCTGAGAGATAGGGCAGTGTGCTTTGTATGTATTTCCAACATGCTTCCTTTTGATTTCTAAGTGAAATCAGCTACAAAGCCTAAATGCTGATGGAGATACATTGACTATCTAGGATTGTTAGCTCACAAGAAAAAGTGTATTCACATTTCTTTTCTTCCATGGTGCCATTGCTTATAGTTAAATTCCAAGACTAAACCATTTCTAGGATCCGGATCAGTTGATAAGCAGAGGAGTAGCTGACATGTAAACCAATAATGCAGAAGTGGTTATAGTTTGACTGCAAAAATAGGAAGAATGTAGAAGCTACAGTGGCATAATAGATGAGATGAAAGTTGCCAGTTAGCAAATAATTAAACATCGTTTTGTTTTTCTGAGTGTGTGAATGTGGGGAGTTGGTGATATTTTTTGTTGTTTGATTCTTTTTTAATGCAAGTGTGCTTTTTAACTCATGTGGTCGTAGATTATACTAAATGAAACTAGATTCACAAGATTTCTGTATGTCAGGTGGGAGGGGGATGTCATGTGGCTATCTGTAAATTCCTGATGATCTAATAAAATATGATACCATTGCCTACACATCCTCATTCTAGTATGTTGCCTTTCAGGTTAAAATGAGTAAGCAGAGCATGTTCTTTAAAATCACCTTACTGCTGATAAGAATGAAAGATAATATGTCTTCCTACTCTTCCTCTCTCCCCAGTTTGGACTTTTTAAAACAGTGCAATATAAATATTACAGTTATAATGTAAAGTTATGTTGCATTACTTCAAAGAAAAGGCCACAAAACTTTCAAATAAAAGTGGATTGATTCATATCAAAGAATCATACATCAGATACTTTAAATTATGATTTGTATTTGTAAGAAATAATTAGGGAGATTTAAATAAACCATGTCAATTTGAATAAAAAAAATAATGACTTTATAATTAACTATATTGAATGTATTTATGCTCCAAATCAGGGGAATACTGTACACTAGGCTTATCTAAAAAGCCTCTTTTATTAGTGTCTGTACTGGGAAATGTTTTTTAAAAAACCATGTGGCCAGAAAGAAATTCAAAAAGTATTGTATGAGTATCTACAGTAGAGTCCTTCAAGTTTCTGGGTTCTGTAATCTCCCAGGACTTGAAATGATGCTTTGAACCATCATTAAAAAGGCA